TAATTGCAGCGATATGCTCCTCCCATCAGATACTCTATCACCAAACCAATATCAATCAGACTTATCCGATAATCAGGAGGTAAGTTTCCCTGCAACAAAAAAAAGAAGGATGGTGGGGGAGGAAGAAATGCTTATTACTGGCATTGTTCAATATACTTTATAATGATGTTAGAATAAAACAAATTAAATAGTTAAAAACAGGAATGTATTATTATGCTGGTTAATTAATTCACCTTAAAATAGATCCAACCGAAACCTGGATATTCTCGCTTGGAAAGAAGACATAAGTTAAATAAGAAGGTGAAGAACTTGTTGGGAGTAACAGAAGATAACATCAGTACACGGTACTCATATTCTTCAGCTGGGGAAACAAGGAACACGACTACAGAACAAAAAGCATGAGGATCAGCACACTTGAAAGGTCAGGCACAGTTGCTGGACTCTAACCTGCAAGATAGCACCTTTTATGCACCATCTGTCCCCCACAACTCTTGTCCCAGCATCTCATGTCTCTGCTGGCATCTCTTTGCGCTGCCTCATCTGCACTGCCAAAGCACGGTGAAGTGACATCATGCGATATCATTTGTTCACATGGAACCAGCTCCTGCATGTGGTCTTCGCATCCTGCAGTGTTTCCTTCCCATGTTCCAGGAAAGGAGGGCACAGGGGAAAGAGCTGTGTTATCTGCTGTAGAGGACTTACAGAGTGCATGAGTTATTATTATTGCTAGTTGCTAGAGGCAAGGAGAGTTTGTTAGCATTTGTTCTTGGGGTTATGTATAAATAAACGCAAAGCTTTGCTTAAATTCCACACCTAGTATGAAGAAAGCATCTGTATGTATGAAAGTATGAAAGTTGTAATAAATAAAATATCTGTGGCTAATTCTTTGGGGTTTTGTTCAAGAAGAAAACTACATGCCTAGCAATTTTCCTAGATGGTCCCTCCTTGGACTCCCAACATATTTTGCTGAAAGCCCCTTTAAGCACGGTAATCTTGCTACCTAATTTCCAGCAGTGCCAGCAAGATTGTCTCCCAAGAGGTGAACTGTACTTGTGGCAAGGGTCATTAGCGGAATCCTGGAAAAGACGTTTACGTACTTGCTCTTCTGTTTCTTTTGCTTTCTTATCCTCTGTTAAATGTAATATATATTACATTTTATATATATTACATTATAAGACACAATGTCTTCAGCATGCACCTTTTATTTTGAAGGGAAAAAGAATGATAAATATGTCCATGTCTTATTGCCCTCACTTTGTGAACTCCCTTGCACGTATCTTCCTTCTCTTCACTGTCAAGCCTGAAAAAGGCAACACTAAGGTTATGAGTTCTCCAATACTTATGGCTTTCAAAGCTATGAAGAAAGATCTCAATAACAGATTGTCTGTTACTGCATACGAATCTGAGTCTGCCTTTGAGTTAACTGGGCATTTCTATTCTCCAGTATCAGTAAGCCTGATGCAAGACCTAGCAGGCCAGAATAATTTCAGGGTGGGCTGGTCTCATGGATGTGCTGGTGAAGTGCTTTTGGGGGTCTCTGGCGATGGAAGAACAAAACCCCAGTGTGGGCACATCTGCTCTTCTGTTCCCCCCTGGGAACTCCACAAGGAAAACTCTGATCCCTTTACAGAAGGAAAAGGCAAATGGGAAGGGAATGCCCCCCCATGAAATTTTGCCACCTTCTCTAAATCACTGCCTCCGAATTGTTCGGATGACAGCTTATGGTTCAGCGAGCAGTTCCCCACCAGAAATTAAGGCATGATTCAGCAAATTGTTAATAGGTCACCCAGATCTAGAGATGTCACCAAGAACTCTGCAGATTTACAGAACCCTCTCTGTCCTGTATGTCATTGTACAAGAGATATGGCTATGAATGAAAAGTGGAAAAAGAGGTAAATTATCCTTCTGTGAACTGCGAGAAGTAGCCTTGGAAAAAGAGAAAATTACTCCAGTAAAAAATTAACTCGTATAGTCAACATTGCAGAAGGACCAGGAAATTGTTAGCTTCAAACTTTTTCAGTGCACTCTAATAAAATAATCACATTTTCTATAATGATATACAGTACAGATTACAGTTAGCCTGTAGCTCTTTTCATGTGGCCATCAAAAGAAGGTTAGTAATTTGCACGGAGCAATTTTATGACTGCCATGTCTTGCTTGAAATATCTGCATGTCTGCAAATATCTGCCTGGCTTCTCTGCAGATGTGCTTATTGGATTCAGAGCAGACAAACACTAATGGAGAACAGATGGCAACTGGTTCTGCAGAAGAGATGAAATGGATGCAAAGATCCTTGTTCCTCTTCTACTTCAGCCAGGAATAGCAGTGCTTATTTCCCTCCCTGCTAACCATGGTAAACACAGCATGCTGAAAGGTTGAGGAAAGAGAGAGGGAGGTAGTGCTGCGATGTACCATGCCTAGCAATGGGCTGGGATTCAAAGGGACAGAAGATCAAGCAAATTTAGTGGCAAAAGGTGAGCTGCAAACTACCTTCAGTAATGTCCCTTAGCATATCCTTTTGCACTCTTCCTACTCTTGGCTAACGTGATGGGCGGGAGAATCACTACGGTTTGCAAGAATGCATATTAGCTTCGTTTATTTGAACCCAGTCATTTTTATTCTGAACTGTTTAAAGAAAAATAACGTAAATCTAAAAGTTAAATCCTGCTACGTTTTTTTGTGTGGTTGCTTGTTTTTTTTTTTTCCCCCAAATGTTCTTCTCTCTCCAGAATGCTAAGGCAATGACAGTTTTACCAGAACAAGGATGAAGGCACTGGCAGAACTGGGAGTTGTAGCTTCAAGACAGAGTTGTAGTTCTTCAACAGATGCCTGCTGTCTTAATGTAAGACACTAAAACTGAATGCTTTGATATTATTAAGCGGCAAAAAATATTTAAGCAATTAAGAAAGCACAACAGGCATCAGGGTGCTGCATGTGTTAGAAAGTGTGAGTCTCTTGATATAGTTCTTCTGATTTCTAAAATTTCATAAAGGGGTTTAGATAAAAAATTTCCAGTAGAGTAACTTTAATAAAAGATGCATCTAAACCTCCCAGATAATATTGAAACACTTTACTAAGGAAAATTCACAAATTCACAGCAGAAATATACATTTTATGGACATACACATATGTATGGCTCCATGCTAACACAGAATTACTTTTCCAAAGTGAGCAGCCTTAGTAAAGCCAATTGGACCATCCTTGTAAGAGGAATTATGCATGTGCCAAAGCATTTGCCTTATCAGAAGGCACCTTGAACTACCCTGGCAGCAGTGAGTCTGCTAATAAATGAAGCACAGTGATGCAAGTGGATCAGAACCTCTCCAAGAAGGGCAAAAATTTGGATGGGCTAATTCCAGTACAGCCAAAGTGGTCAGAAATGAGAGAGGAGAAGGTTTGATTTTTGGGTATGATAGGTACCCCGGTTAATAATCAACTAACCTTTAATGTCGGGACAAGCTCTTCAGTGCTAATGCATTACTCTTTTTATGAAGAAACTTCAACTTTAAGGTGTAGCTAATCAGTTATAGTATTTTTTCACTTCAAGTGCATTTTTATATTCAGCAGGTACCAAGCCTCTGATTTTGCATGCTGAGGAAAAAATAATGCTCTCAAAATTATGTATATTGCTTGTTAGTTCTCTGGAAATGTAGACACACAGTGGCAGTCCAAAATAGAGATCTTTGAAAATGTATATCACCCCAGAGTGGGATTAAGATATATTGATTACATACAATTTTTTGGATTAAAGAAAAAAGTTAATCTGTTAATTTCTATTGATCTTCATTAGCTAGTTGAGCCAGGGAACGATTTTTTAAAAACAACCTGTAGAGGGCAACATCCACTCACAGACAGAGCGTCACGCACGATCACTATTTCTTCCTGCCTAGTCTGTGTGCATTGGTTTGTACGGTCTAGGGAATGAAGTCAACCCTGTATGTTAAAACCTGTACCCTTGACAGAAGATGTCAAAAAGGCCATGATGCAAACGATGCGCTGATTTGTCCCCGTCTGTAGTTATGGAATTGAGAGGATCGAAAGGAGAGATGAGCACAGGTCTCTCTAAAGTAGAGTCATTAAGAAGTACTTTGTCTTGCTAACATATGCAGAATTTAAGCATGCTCCCAGTACTGTAAATTCTTTAAGACTGTGTCTCCAGGCCTTTACAATATGCTGCCCAGGCTAACAGTCTTCACAGTGGTATTTGGAAATCCAAAGAGAAAATAAATTGTTGTCTTACATGTTTGTGCGCGCGTGTGTGGTGTGTGTGCATGCGCACATGTGTGTAAGCTGCCACAAACAGGATGTGGTAATGTGACTTCTGTTGTTCAAATTCTTTGCTTTATTAAGCAGGCAGGGTGGTCTTTCAAACCAAAAAGACCCTTCTAGTGATTTATACAGCTATGTAATACTATAGTAGTAAATTAAATAATGCTTCTATGATTTGTAAGCATCCATTTTCTATTTGAGAATTCACAATGATGCAGATGTAAATAACTTTTTATAGAATACACCCTTTTAAATAGTGCAGGTTTTAAAACCGGGATGTATGCATAAAACACACAGAGTATGCATATCCTTTAAGTGTTGTCTCAAGGTGACATACTACATTTTTTGTATTTATATTTTGTGATACTGTAATTAAATCTGAGAGGTTAGGTATCTGGCATCAAAATACATATAAACTCAAAAAACTAGCATCAGCAGTGTGGTCTGGTTTTCATGCATGGTGGGCCACTTAACTGTCAAATAGTGACGTCTATTAAGAAGTTATTTCCAAGAAGGTGTTTCATTTACACTGTTGTCAGATCTGCTGACTAATTTACAGCTTGGTTGAATGGTAAGGGATCTGCTCAGATGGCAGGGCTACGGCGAGCTGTGACTTTTCTCCAAGTGAACCGCGGTTGTTCCTCATCACTGACAAAATGAGAAATACAGCCCCAGAGGTGCAGTTTTCTGATGAAGGTGCTAGAGGGCTGCAGCAGGCTGTTTGTTTTTAAAGCCCTTAACTATATTCTAATAAGAGTACACATTGGCTTCATGTAGTGGGAATTACTGGAGACTTTAGATATGGACAGAGGGAAGAAAGATGAATTTATGGAAAAATGACCATCACCTAAAATTAAGCAACCATCATGGAACAAATAATGTCATTAAATACAGTGTAAGTTTATTTAATGCCGATGTCTATCAATATATACCTATAAGTACTGATTGTCTTTGCCTATTTTGATGCCTTTTTTTCAAGAGCTCCTTTAAAAATACATCTTTTGTTAGGGACTCAGAAAAAGATATTGATATTATTTAGACACTCAACATACAAATTGCTATGCCTTTGAAGAAGGACTTCAGAAGGTGATGCTAGGGGAGAGAAGGAGTTTGAAAAGGAATATATTTTAAAGTAAGAAGACAGATGATGCTTGTTTCAAACTCTTATAGGCACATAAATAACTGCATATTTAGTAAAAAACATATTCTGGCAACTTGGGCTTCAAGAGAAGTAGCCAGTCTAAATGCATTCTAGCTTTACTCTGCTCCATCCAAGGGGATTTGTGCATAAGAACAGTTTCAGTTTCTTCTGTAGGCATTTCACACTTTCCAATGGTCACTTAATATACTATATATAATTGAACAATGATGATGCCATGTAGCACACTAACCAAAGAAAGCCACCAGAACCTTCCTAAACATAACTGCTGATTATTCTGTAGCATTATTTAACAGAAAGATGATATATGAAGCATTGCCACTCCCCTCCCCTAGTTGCCTTCTGTTCCACTCAACTGTCAGTGACAGAAGAAACCACCAAAACCTGTGCTCTTACAAAAAATCTCCATTCCTTTTTCAATTTTCTATCTAGTCCCATGTACAGAAATCTCCTTTCTCAAGTATGCTACCCTTCAGGTCTGACTTATGTAATGTGCAAGGTTGTAATCTGCACATGCTTTGGGAGAATATTCAAGCTGATGAGGTCAGCTGCAGACTCAATCTCCTTACTTGATCCATATATTTAGAGGATAAGGGATTTTCATTCATTGCTGCTGCTGTAACACTTTTAATCCTGAACACATTGCTAAAGGTATTTGGTATCTCCTTCCTGTCACTATACCTTTCCATGTTTCTGTCCTGCCCTCCTAATGGCTCTTTATAATTCAAGATGCTTGAAATTAACTTGATAAGGGGGCAGGGGAAAGTTGCACTACTTTTTGCATATTTCTGCTGAGGAATACAGCTACACTACACCACACAACACAAAACAAGGAACTGTTTCAACAAACTAGGATCCAGCACAAGGATAAGGGCTATTTTACAGGCTCAGAAGTAAACTAACAACATGGAAATTAGCTTTGACAGTAGTTGCAGGTATGGAAAAATACACATAACAGCATAAATCCACATAGTATGTAAGTGCCTACAATTATGCTAGCAGAAGCACTATTACCCAAGCATCTAAAACCACAGAGAAAGCAAGCCAAATAACTTGTTAATTGTGCTTTGTATGCAAAAAGTTCATATTCGGTACATACAAACAGGACATTCTGTAATGGCAGGGGAAGGAGAAGGCTCTGACTGAAAGCTCATGCAAAACAGAGATTGTATCTAGCTACAAAAAGCAATCATAGCATTATCTCCAACCTACCGTCTATTGGACTCTTACCTTTTTGACGTCCCTGACTAGATGATACAGAGTGTTGGATGGTCCATGTCTCTGCGCAAAGGACATAAAGAAGAATAAAATAGTTTTGCATTGTCCAAAGACCTGCAAGATGTAAATGCTGAATTGGCTTTCTCACCTTAGCAGTTTAAAAATCAGGCAACTGAGAGCATTTCAATAGTATAGTGTTATAAATTTTAAAAAAAATCAATTACAAGAGCATTATTTTACCTGACTTTTCTTTTGTACAAAAGCCTTCAGTAAGAAAACCACAAGAACTGCCATACTGGATGAAAACTAAGGTCCTATCTAAGGTCCTATACACTTTTGGAAGACTGACTTCTGGTCACCATCCATGTGAAACATCTCTGGATAACAGCTGAGTGTGGCATCTTATGATGGCAGGGCTTTGAAAAATACCAGCAGCAAAAAATTTCTTGAAAAGGGCCATGCACAATATCACAACCTCTCTCCAACAGACAGAACTAGCAATCCTAAGAACTAGACAATGCTTTAAGATTTTTTCCATACCACTTAAGTAATTTAAACTTATTGGTTTCTCTTGGTAGACAATAATAATGTGAATGCTGGAATGTGTTTTGCAGTTAAGAACCCAGAAGGAATTTGAACCTGAATTTTGAACAGTTTTCTGTTCATTTTAAGGGCAAAGATATAAAACTTGCAAACAGGCTTTTAAAAGTCAGAACTATAATTTTTGGAACATTCTGTCAGGACATTGGGAAATCCTTCACTGTAATAGACCTCCTGAAATCATCAGATTTCACCGTTAAATTCAGAATATTATCCCAAGAAGTTTGCTTCTATTTGTTTTCTAGTGGCTGAGTCTGATTAACTGTTGCAAGATTTTTCTGAAACTATAAGGGCTTATACTGTCCGGAGTCATGTATCACCATCCTACAGGTCCTAACTTGCCAGTTACTGTCTTCCAACCAGTGCCATCTGCCTAAATCTCAGGTCTATCATATTGGAATTACAATGACCAGAAATCAGCTGGTACTGTGTGGGGCTTAATCTGTGTTTTACAAAATCTGTACAGCAGATTAGGTGGGTAAGACACAGTGTGTTCCATTAAATGAGAGACAAAGCTAAAAGACAATGTGGACTTCTAACATGGAAAATGTCCTCAGCAGCTGTTGACTGCCTTGTGCATCATCATGTCATTGTCATACGAGTGTGAGCTAGAACAATGAATACAGAGATAGAAAATTTGCCTTAGGTTGGCCCTACCGTATTGTACAATTCCTCTAGTCGGGAGATGGTGAGAAAACGATGCATGCTTACTCCATTTTCTATGAGTAATTTCACAAAATCCACTCTGTCCAACACCAGTGCATCCAGCATTGCTTGCTCAAGGGAGCCCACCTGAAAAGCAAGCGATTAATTCAGGCTGTTCCTGGGCATCGCAGGGTGTATCCGGCTGGTCTGGTCAACCTGGCACAAGCAGGGAATCCTGACAAAATTCTGAGGGTTGCTCTGCTAAGCTTAAAATGGGATAATCACAGTTTTAGTCTATATTGGTTTCTCTGACTCAGGGCAGCATTTCAAAAATGAGTGTCAGAATGTCAAGATTAACATGCTCTAGGAAATCCAGATTAGGACCAAAGAACTGGAACCCAGGAAACTGATGACCACACCTCCACACTATTCACCATCTCATTATTATCTTTATTTCTTGCTTTCCTGACAAACATTTTATTTATATTGGGTATATTTGTTATGTGCACACACCCTCACTTTAATTCTGTCTTTACTGGCTTTTTCCTCTGTTAGTGGTGTGGAAACTCAGGGAAATTTTGACACCCAGGAAGCAGAAATAGCTCCACCATTAGCATTTCTTTGAAGGGCCAAATGCAAGAGGTCTTCTTATGCAAAACCTCTCCTTTTCTATCTCTTGCAGGTTGGAGGGAGTTAGAAGGACGAGAAATTACCTCACACTTCCAGCTTTTAGCTTGCAAAATGATTGCAGCTTGCAGCAGTTATGCAAATTTTTGCTATGATGTGGTGATGGAGTGACAACGATAAGGACAGTTTAGTATCATTAAAATCCCTGCTATGTTTAGGTGCATGCTTATGCCCAATATTGAAGACAAGATAAATAGTCCTGTTCACTCTATAACTGAAAAGGCAGGGATTTTTGAAACTAGCTTTAAGGGGCAGCAAGCCCCAGAAACTACATTTAAAGCAAGGACATTTAAACAGAAACTTTTCCTTTTGTTGCAATTTTTCCATTGGGAGTTGTAAGTGGTCATGTAAGGACAGCATATGAAATTTTCATGATGGCGACAAAACAAGTGTCACAAAAAAGAATATTGTGATCCAATTAAACCTTCCAAATGATATGGTGGGCTTTGAGGAGCTACAGGTAGAGACAGAGCCATTCTGTTTTTGTTTGGTTTTTTTTTTTTTTTTTGGTGACTTCTACCACTGTAAAAGCTGCAGCACAAGTTGGGAGTTGACTACTCCTCCTCTGCTCCACACAGCATTCAATAACCCCTGTATTTACAGCCCTCCCACCCTGCAGAGAGGGTCTACCCGTGGTGCCCCCCAGGGGAATGGTGTTGGCCAGGGAGCCTGTCCTCACAGCTGGCAGATGGAGCATAGGATGGGGCAGATGTGAAGCAGGCAGTTTGATGCAGAGCAGCACTGGGCACGAAATTAACACCAGCTCAGGTTTGGAGCCACAGCATTTCTGTGGTGACATTGCTGATCAACTCTCGTGGTCCACTTGATGACCTCCAACATTTGTGCAGCATATTTTTGACGTCCAATCATCATCAAATTCAGTATTTGTATATAAAAGCATATTGCTTGAAGAGCAAAAAGAAATTTTGCCTTTCCTTTAACTTACAGGCTAACATTGTAACATGGCTGTAAACAGATACTTGTTTTTCTCAGCTTGCAGAATCATTGCCTGATAGTACAAATGTGTTGGTTCCCGTTTCTTTGAAGGTGTGGGCTCTCAGTGTTACGGCATCGCTAGATGTCAGCATTTCCTTGAACAAGTGAATGTATTAACATCTTTATAACCGTGCCTGCCTTCAGTAGCTGTGAATGGGAACTTTGTGTTTGGCTGGGAGCATGACTCAGTATATTTTAAACTGTGTTAAAACCACCGCCGCCAACAGAACGCATTTAATGTTGTGTAGGGTTTAAAGTGTTTTCAGTAGAAGATGCTGTATATATACTGTACCGGCCACTGTTGCCCATAAATAAAGATCTGACTGCGGGCGATGTCTACTCTGTTCCAGGCTAATGCTAGGCTCAGCTGATCGGGAGCAGATGCGTTAGCTCCTGTGTACACAGACAAGGGTGCAGGGAGGAGAGGAGGAGAAAAAAGAAACAAGACATCCTTTAGACTTAACAGACCACCATGGTAATTCCTCTTTGTCAAAAGTCTCACAGATGTCATTTCTGCAACTGATCCCATATTAAAACAAAACCAAACCTTCCATTGTCCCTGTAATAAAATACTCATTCTCAAATCTGAATATATGGTTTTCAGATTGTCTCATAAACATTAACTATTTCCTCACATCCCCCTTGAAAAATACAGTAGGTACATGTGATAGCGGCAGATACAACTTGCAGTGGAGTGAACTGGTTTCCCTCCTCTCAGACAGTAAGCAAGAGCAGAAGCCAGGAGGGATACTGATCCAGCTGCAGGAATACGCGTGCACACACACATATGCACGAGTGCACACATACAAAATGTGCATCTAGCAATTGCAAACTGGTCCAACTCACAGAGGCCCCACTGATTTCAATAGTCATGCATTTCATACACATTCTTTTATACATTCCCACCTGATAAGGTGGGGATCCTGTACAAGCATAGGAATTTCTCCTTTATCTGTTTGTACTGAGGGGTCTTGGTGGGACAAATTTCCCTTCAAACACGCAATATTCATGTAAGAAACCATGCTATAATGCTGGTGTCAAGGCATAATATATCCAAATTAAATAGGAAACTATGAAGATGATAGGATTGGTTTGGAGCTGTTTGGTTTTTGGAAGGGATGGGATGTTTTTCCCTGTAGTTTTAATGGACACTGTGGGACATTCCTGCCCTGCTGTGCTTTTTTAATATTTCACTAAGGATTTCATGGTTATTAGCTGATTTGTAATAATAAAACAGTATTTGTTCTTCAGTGTCATAGGGAGAACTGGCCCAAATGAACTGATCAAACAAATAAATAAAGAACCCTTCAACTTTTAACTACATAGCTGCCTGCAGTGATTAGGTGATGGTATAAAGGCTCATTTTTTAAAGGCCTTATACCTCCACTGTTCTCTTGTCTTTATTAATTCTTATACTGATATCATGGAGTGAGGACAAACAAGAGCTTTTCATTACTTCAAAGCATTTCTGTCCCCATTTCAGTACTATTCAAAATCACACACTGTTCCAGCTGAAAGTGGACTCTGAAATTGGAGGCATAGAAAACATAAAGCGTAACATGCTGGCCGCTGAAATTCTCTGTGAAGGATCAGTTCAGCAGACCTTTGGGAAGCTTAGTTTAATTTAATAACTCTCAACTTTGCAGTCGGTTCACTGCCATGAAACTTTGCCAAATACTTGGCAATATCTACAGCAATTATTTGGGAGCTGGTGGACTGTAGATCATCCATATCACTTTCATTTATTACAGAAATGAGCTCTGATAAAAAGGTAGGTGATGCAGGAGCAGAATGATAGAAAGAAATGAAGAAAAGAAGAAAAAAACCAGTGAAAACAGTAAAAGACCTTGCTGTGACTAAGAAGTAACAGGAATACCCCTTTGTGTAAGACACAGCTTCTCATTGCTATGTACTACAACACGGACAAAAGCTCTCACAAGAGACCTCGTGCGGGATGCCAATGACACCTGAACCTTTCTGAGTTTCTTACACAAGCAACATGCAACATTCAAGAACAGAAAATATTTACCTTTGGGAAGGGCAAAAAAGTCTCTACAGCTTTATTTATAAAAACAGAAAAAACTACCTGCAGTGGGTATGATAGTGTAAATGAAGTACAGAGAGCAAATAACATTCTCCCCCTTTCTGAAGCAAATAACAGATCCTCGCAAAAAGCCATTGGATCTCCTCCTTCCCATCCGTGTGCCTGCAGGAGAAGCGAGAGCTTTGGCAGGTGCTCAGGCAAGCTGTCTGGTGAGCAGTGGAGGAGGTACATGGATGATTTCAAAAACCCAGGGGGAATGATGGTGACCCTGCAGCCAGGCACCATTTTGCACATGTGATGTGGGAGCTCCACCTCCTGATTTTCCTAAACTGACTGCAGCCTACAGTCTGGGTAGCCAGAGGTGCAACCTGGTAAGAAAACATATTGGATCAAGAGTGGATCAGATAGACTTGAGGAAGGAAGTGGGCTAGGTAGACTGTCCCCACTTCAGCCAAAACTCAAGACAAATCATAGAGGCTCCGGGTGAATACCTTCTGACCCCTAGCAGAGAGCCTTCCCCATTTTGTGTCGAGTGGCCTAGCCTTCCTGGGCCTTTTCGTGCTTTAGGAAGGACCCAGCTGCTGGATGAACATAGGGCCTTCTGGTGCATCTAATCATGTGAAAGACCAGCTGGCATGGGGCATGAGATGGTGGCTGCATCTCCAGAAAGGCCCCCAAGCCCAGCAGTTCATCAGAATTGTTTTCTTTGAGCATGCTTATTGCTCAAAATACTGATCAGAGGGGAAAGCAAGCCGTGGCCCAGCCTCTGTCCTTCCCACCTCCCTCCATAATGTTTAAGGCTGCCAGCAGTGGACAAGTTTTCCTGTAGGTGCATGTGCAGTCCCAGAGATGATGCTCTTCTCAGTGCTTGTTACCATAATGGTTCATTTCATTGTTTTCCAGAGCGCTGCAGACATTTGGCAGTTGAAGGAAATGCACAGTTTCTCAAGTGGTTTTTGTACTTCAGGTCCAAACCAGTCCATCAGCTAGGGTGTAGACTGGGCAGTACAGGTCTGCATGCTGGGGCTCTGATGCCCATGGTAGGATGGCTGCTCCCAGAGTGAGGTTTGTTGCTGGAAAGCCCTTGTACCCTTCTCCTCTTTCCTGTCTTCTCTATGTAGTTTTCAGGTGAACGTGGATTGCACTGGCATTATATAAGAGGAGAAGGAAAAGAAAACCTATAGAAGTTTGTACAGAGCAGCATATGGGCTGCAGGTGCCATTTAATCAATTTTATTCCAGGATAGACTGATGACTTTTGACTCAAATGAAAAGAAAGTAATCAGGCTATTTCGGGTGGAATTCTATCCAGTATTAAGAAGTAAACATAATTCCACCAATATAAGAAATACTCTCCAGAACAAATGTGAGGTGCGTTTTTTTAAGAAAAGAAAATAATTTTCAATGATTTAAATCATTTTCTTGATTGTATTCGGTTCCACAGAGCATAGATTTGAGTCAGTAAGAAGAATCCAAAAAGTGGCCTCTCTGAGGACTCATCTTGCTCATGAGTGTCACTGGAATGTACCCAAATCAAAGCCAAACGGTATTTGGGAAATCAAAAAATAAAGTAGAGTTAATAACCTACTGCTCTCATCAGCTCAACACAGGGATCATACTGGAACCACCTCTTAGGCCCTTAACACTGTCAGTGGTGAGAAATTAGCATTTCCTCTTCTTATGGTTCTGTTTCATCCTGTGTCATGGAAAGATTCTCTGCTTAGTTGCATTGTATTATTTTAACTACTGTAGTATACTTACTGCTTTAAATAGTGTTTTAGGCAATATGACTAATGTCTATGTATTTAGTCATTACTCTGGTGTACGGCTGAGCATAAGATATGTTCCTCAAAAGAATGTTTTAAGACAATATGACTAATGTCTGCAGTGGGACTCTTCCTTCTGTTCATCTGCTCCTAGAAGAAAAGTTGCATTTGGGATGCAATGCGTCAATTTGGCAGTATTTTATTTTATTATAGACATGGCTGGATATAGCTAGACAATGCAAGGATGGTGAGAAGTTCAAAGAACAATAAGGAGATACGGGACAGCTGTTAGTTCCTGCAGGTGTTAACTTCATGCTCTTAGACAGCCATCCAGGAGTGCTTGGATATCTTGCATAGATTCTTCTGGTAAAAAGTCAGATGATCTATCCAACATCTTTGACCAAAAATGCAATAGTCCTTGATGATAAGGCCTGGGACCATAAACTTGACTCTGTATGCTAGGTGAGCCAGGGTACACATCAGACAATGAGTGTTGTGCCCTTGCGGGATCCCAGATTACTGAAGAGACAGGCTGCAGGCTGTTATAAACTGGCTAAATTTTACTGTGATCAATGTAAACCTCTAAAGGATTCTCCTGGAATAATCTATGATACTTAGTGCTTTGGAATCTGGAAAGCTGAAACGACACAAAACTGATTTACCTAGACAGAAACGGTTGTTGGAGACTCATTTCCACAGTGCTTCTAAGCATGTCAGTGTCCTCTTTGAATCATCATTTAAAGAAAAGAATTAAATTAGGGAAAATAGCAATCCAAATTAACTTTCTGCTCTGCATCTTAGCACGTCTTACATTGTCTTCCGTTTTAGCAGCTCTTTGGTGAAAAGGCTGTGTTTCCACTGCATTTGCTACAAGCATCTTCGTGGCATTTAGCAAATCAATTGACAATAACAAAGCTCATAGCAACAACAACTATAAGGGCACTAACCAGATATCTGGCCTAACTCTGAAATCCTTCTGTGTCAGTGATTTCATGGTTGGCAGACCATCACACAGTCTTCCAGGACCATCTGATACTACATGATGGCTGTTCAGTGAGCATGAATCATGACTTATTCACAGGCTGGAAAGTATGCAGAGACATCAGATCTGCATTAGCCTAACATTGCTTATCTCAGAGAGTTACATGGCAGTAATATTACAATATGCATATACCACACAACACCTCTTTCCCAATGCTAACAATTGCACCAGGAAGGCTTCTGTAGCACCAGCTGAAACATGGCTGGTGCTGCTAGTATGCTCCAGACATTGCAACAGCTTCATGAACTAGGATCTTTGATGCCACTTCAAAACAATTATATTTTAGAATATCTCCATATGCTGTCTTCAACTTCCCTGTCATATGCCTTCTGCTCAATTAACAGCTGCAAAAGGACAAAATGCATTACTCTCTGAGTTCCAACTGTTCAAGTTAAGAAAGCACAAACAGTTAAACTGTATTGATAAATGTACTTGCTACAAATTCATGCAATTGGAAACTTACTTGTACATTTGCATGGCTCTCGAAATTAAAAAAAAAAAAAAGGAATTCACAGGCCATATGCTGTTGTGACATCCATGCAATGTAAATTGATAACCAGTTTGGATGCCATTCCCTAGTTTATTGGAGATCACTTCCAAGAAAGATAGATCTGCTGACAAGATTAAACAAGTGACTCATGAAAACAAACAAGGAAATAATCTCTCATAGTCAGTGCAGGGTTTGGGGCTTGTGCAATATCGTGTCCAGGAGAGTTCCCGCATTGGCAGTGTGCCTGGTGAGGGTTTATAAAGAGACTAGCTCATCGCAAACTCTACACAGCAAGCAGAAAATGATACTTCATGTTTCCCAGTCCTTGTCCTCCTCCTACTCCCTGAATAAAATCACTCACACCAGAGTGGGATTGGTAATTAGCTGGATGCGCCTTGAATACTGGCTAGCGAGAACTGCAAAATCCTCATTGGTGAGACTGAGAAAAAGTAACCAGTAATCACTCAGCAGTTTCACGCGTTTCTCTGTCCCCTTTTCATACAGTGCTGAAGAGGTGAAGAAATTAGTTCCTGAATCTAAACTTACGAATTTCAAGATAATTCAGACCCCATCTTCAAAGCTGCTTACTAGTAAATCAATAGACAAGTGGTTCAGCACTGCTACCTTGTATTTCTTGATCTGATAAAATAACAACTATCCATCAGCCTGATAGGGTGTATTTACAGAAAGGTAGTATTTCTTTCAGGGTGGGCCAGAACCTTTGTACAAAGACATGGTATGAATAAGATAACTGACTTGACTAAGACAAGAGATCTCATCTTTGCACACATTGATTACAAATTGTATGGACTTTCATTCCCTGTGATCAGAAAGCTCAGATTAACAAGAGGCATCTGATAAATCTAATCTTCATTGAGTATCTTCATAATCAGAAAGTGTTAAGGAGCAGGGAAGATGAGGTGTAAGTTTTAGTTCTTCTGGCTCTTGAGCAAGACACAAGTGCTGCTGCCAACAGCAGATTACCAAATCAAGATTGTCAGGCAAGCATGAAAGGAGATGTCAAAACTACTTACACAGGTCGAGGCACTGTCTGAGCTAACAAAGTTCACTATCATGTCTTGCACTACTATTATGAAGAGGGAGGGTAATTTTATTTTACTAAGGAGATGACAGGACCAATTAGGCACTTGTAAAGCAGATATTCCAGACCAGAGAGGACTACTTATATATCCAGACTGCAACCATAGTACAGTTGCTCATGTATATATACTGCGAAAGAACTTCTCAAACAGAAAAGAATCCCTCCCAGGCCTATATTTTCTTCAGCTTCCAAGAGGAAGCTTTCAAGGTGGTAAAAGACTCCAGGGATCATGTTGGGATTCAGACCTTGAAAATATACCTAGAAAAAGTGGAATCACAACTTTAAGACAATCTGTATCTTACTAACAGAAATCAAGAGCAGTAGTTTCAGTGATTGTCTTAAGAACAAATGTGAAGAAAATATACTTTACACTGAGGATAATGAAGGATCCAGTTATATTTAAGATAAAAATGAAATCTGCAATTAAAATATTTCCTAAGGATAGAAAAGAGGAATTTGGTGATGGATGCAGTTCTTGTTCCTTGCTTTGATTGATTTCTTTTTCCTTTCTTCACCTTGATTTATATTGTTTCTCTGTGAAGATGTCCAAAATGCCTTAAGATTTAATTATGCAGATGGCTAAAACTTGTTACCTCAGGGTAGCAGCAAAATAATCATGTTACCTGCAGGACAAACAACTGTTATCTTGAACAAAATGAGCAAAAGAAGTGGAGAAAGCAATAATACAGAAGTGTAAAGAAACGAAGGCTACTGGAGCAAAATAATTCCGGCCCATTTTCTTGGCTGGCAGCTATCACCTTGCAACCATACTTTTGAAGTGGCCGTTGCTTGTTTACTACTCCTCTTCAGACTTTTGTCTTACATGTTTGAAGTAACATTTTTGAAATGGGATTAATAATTGTGTAAAAGGTAAAATACTATTTTGCCTGGTGAGGTGAAAGTTACTTAGGCCTTCTCCCTTTTCATGCAGTTTTTGTGAGCCTGCACAGGAAGAAACTGAGAAGAAAACTGAGCCCTGGAACAAGGAAGAATAATTCCCATTACCTTTTGAATACCCAGTAAATCTATTAAATTTTTTGTTATGACTCAAATTCTGCCACATGGCACTGTGTACCCTCTTATTCAGGTGTGGGGGTGGCAATAGCATGATGACAACTACTAAAGAGCCTCATGAAGCATAACTTTCCCTGGTCACCTTTGGAAATTCATTCCCTAATGTTTCTCAGATTGCTCTTTAAAATTGTTTGGTATGCCTTACTCTGTTTTTATAATCAGTATGACCTGTACTACATAGCACAAAACAGTCTAGACAGCAACAAGATGACCGTGGTGATTGATACATGCAATTTGTGAAAATCCCATTTGGGGAAATACCATATAAATGGAGGGCTAGAACCTCCCAGCCCTTCCTTAGGTGAGTAATCCTTCATCGGATAAGTACATGTGCTTCAGAGCCTTAAAATCTCACCTGTTTCTGTATTTGCAAGCAGATATTAAATTACCTGATAATATCATATTTTGACGGGACCCAAGTTGAATGGTATAAGTGTCTGCAAGCCAGGGCTTATAATGAACTGTGGCAACAGCAGATTTATTGTAAGACAATCTTTTAAGAACCTAAGTGTAACAGGTAATGGTTTAGAAAGATTTAGCGACCTGAGAAGTTTAAGATTAAAACCCCTATCACCCCAATAGCTGAGTTCTTAGCTCTGCCAGTGGAGGCTGGACGGAATCCCACACAGTTCCCAGACCTTCCTAGGATGACTACAGTGCCAGTTTTATCTAAAGGGAGATAATCTCCTTCTGGATATTCTACTAGCCGTCAAGGCAATCTAAGTCTGAGAAGTTTTTTGGCTGCCTTCTTGTGAGTGCTAATCTTCTCAAGTCACCACTAATGTTTCTTGTCATACATTAGCGACTGTGGGTGGAGAATAAAAATTCAGAAAGGAAAAACAGTAGCTATTTAAACATTAAAGAAAGACCTAGATTTGTATAAAGCAGTTAGAGCAAAAAGTATACTTCAATTTCACGGTATAAATTTACCATCTCGATATGGTAGATATTGTCAATAAATGCAGGTTTCAGCACAGTAGAGACACAGAGTTAATCCATTTGGATTGATACAGACTCACTGTGGAGTGAAACTCCATTACCTTTTAGTAATGCTGTCAGGATAGCTAAATCAATATCCTGGTGTCCTTCTGATCCCATGCGAAATACTGTGATCTGAAATGTTAAAAGACAATACCATTATTGAAACCAGGGTAATTTTTTTAAAAAAGAAATTAAATCAGGGCAGCATCATTTGGATCTCAAAATGTCCTGATGCCTACAAGATAATCATACTTTATACATTTTGAGAAGCTTATTAGATAGGATTAACACACAGTATTTTTTGTGAGATAAAATTTGATAAAGATAGAAATTGTATTAATGAGCATATGTGGAAGAGAAGTCTTCTTACAGGGTGAAATTAGAGATGAAGAAATGTTTTTGTATTAGAGTAACATTAGATTTAGTGTTCCAAATACATTACTGGGAGGAATTAGGTGTATTACAGGTTGTGGACCTAATTTATGGCATATGGCATTGAATAAATATTTTCAACCAAAATTAGCAACCTATTCAACCTCATGATTTTATATAGCAGAAAGGTAGATAAATAATCTAAGAATTAGGCTTCTAACAGGTCCAGAAACATCTTTAGCCATGTGTGGTCAGTGACGTATCACTATAAGATGTAAGCTTTGAGGCAGTGAGGTGAGATACACAATTCATAAAGAAAAAGAATGAATATAGTGGGGCTGTTCTTTCAAGCCAGTTTCACTCTTAGTTAAGATTGCACTGAAACATATAGAAGTGTAAATCCCCTCACTCTTTCTGTTGCCATGGCAATAGGTGTTCTTGGGCCTCTGCTTCTTATGAAGCAACTGAGACTGCAGCTTTTTATTAGTGCCTTTACTAATGAAACCTATGTCATCATTTTGATCTGAATACCTGTTATCTGTTTTTTCTTTTTCCTTTTGCCAGTACAAACTGCCTCAAAGCTTTTTGTAATTAAGTGACGTGTTTAATTAGGAATTATGTAAACATATTTTACATTTTACACTCATATTTAGCAGCATATGTTGTCCCCACATTCCTACTCATACAGCACCACTGAACTGCAGCAGCATGTGGGACAGAGGTCAGCAACCATCAGGGCACAAAGAACAGTGTACCGCGATGGAGAAAGGAGATATATAAAGTGGTCAAGGCTAAGACAGTACTTTGGTGACATGCTTCAGCTTCCCAGCTGAAATAGCCCTGCAGAGTGTATCCCAAGAAATCCAATGTAGCCCTCCTGTAGCACCTATTCTACCTTCACTTGACCCTAGAGCTCTAGGGGGTTCAAAGTGAGATGAGAGACTTTGGCATCAGTGACAGTAGTACAGCATGTTAGAGACTGAAAAGGCAAACTGAATGAAGTAATAGGAAACTGACTCAGCACAATTAGTCAATTGATTTAGAATATGCCTAAAACAATTAATGTGAGAAAGCATTTATGTTAGGTGTCCTCCCCAGTTAAAGTAGACTGTTTTCAAATTAGACTTAATTCGACCCTTCAAAGTGTTCCTGACACAAAGCATAAATGCTGCAAGTGATACATTAATGATCTGTTTTCTCTCTCCCCCTGGAATCTACAGATGTTTCTGGCAAACCACTTGATGTCTATCCTGTATCACAACTTTTAGAGTAGAATAGAGTTGAACTGAATTGAATCAAATAGAATAGAATAGAATAGAATAGCATAGAATAGATTAGAATAGAAAACAGAATAGAATAGTTCCAGTTGGAAGGAACCTACAACGATACTCTAGTCCAACTGCCTGACCACTTCAGGGCTGACCAAAAGTTAAAGCATATTATTAAAAGCATTGTCCAAATGCCTCTTAAACACTGGCAAGCACAGGGCATTGACCACCTCTCTAGGAAGCCTCTTCCAGGGCCTGACCACCCTCTCAGTAAAGAAATGCTTCCTGATGTTTTTCCTAATGTTTTTCTTATCTCCTCAATGACTGGCAAGGAAGCTTTCCCTGCAGTGCAGACAGTCTGCTCCTTTGACCTGTAGAGCACAGGCAATGTGGGTAGAAACACACATTTCTATGCATATCTCATCTCAAAACACAATAAAAATGTGAGCTCATGAGATTAGCCCCTCTACTGAACATGCTCATGATGCGCTTCCCATGCCACAGATGATGAACTGCGCCACAGAGGTTAGCAGCCAGGCAGGCGGGTCAGAAGGCAGAAGGAAGAGAAAGCCTTCCTCCCTTACCCAGCGGGAAAGAGGAACATGTCCCTTCTCATGGGTAGCTCTGGCAAGTGCTGACAATTAGTGACTGAATACAGTGTTGCCACATAACAGTCTGATCATAACATCCTCACAATGCTTTGCAATTTCCTACACAATTTTTGCAGTAACAGGCATCTCTGTAGCACTGAAAGGAAGCGTGACAGCCTGGCAAGCAGATCAGCTAGTGCTGGGAATGTCTTGTTTTTATCACTGCACTTGGTGGCACCACCATGCTGCAAAATGGCCTTCTCCTTCTTTAAGGCCAAAGGTGAAGCAGTCTGCACATCGGGGACTGAAAATACTGACCAACAGGAGGTCAGTGGAAGAACAATGTACATCTCAAACTAAACACATGCTCAGTGAACTCCCAGCTTAATTAAAAGGCATCATATAAATTGCAAGCACTGAACAGATTATCACCACAGGAAAACTAAGGGAAGCACTTTGCATGTATTGGACCATATATAACCCTAAATTTCCGACTTGTCTTTCACCCCTCTTCCCTGCATGTCTCTTTTTATCAGAAAAATAAACCCACTTCAGCAGAACAAGTTGATGCTGTTTTAAAAATAAAATAGAAATATACAATTTAGTTACATTAGAATATAAAGACTGCCTTTCTGCAGTGACTGTTACTTTGTTATTATTTTAAGAGGTCTAGTGTAATTCAAGTAGTAAAATATATAAAAAGAAGATAAATAATTGGGAAAAAAGATGGAAATAGAAAGAGTGCTCAGACTCATACCAGAATTATTATTATTTTGGGGTTCATGCGCAAGACTGAACTAGAATTTTAGACAGAACCAAGGCAAACTATCATGATACTTCATTTCAAAATTCTGTGACTTTAGTAGCTCAAAGACTCAGCTGATACTGTGGTCTTTTGCCTGTTCTAAATGCACAAAATCTTTTAGGACACTAAACAGATGGGTTCACCTTATGGTTTAGGTTGACTCTAACTATCCGTAGCTGCTTTCTCTCTGTGATGGATGCACTCCTCCTGTTTGAACTTTGATCCAGGCAGATGCTCACCAAGTAGGCCTAATCAAATTTAATCTTACTGTGTGAGGCTATCAGTGAAAACTCAGCACCAAATCCAAAAAACCCCAGTTTGGCTGGAGACTGGGCTGATAAGCGGCCAAAACTGCATTAACACAGCCGAAAATCTGACTACAAATCAACCACTTTACGCTATAAATATCTGCAGCCATCAGGGCCCATTGAGCTTTCCCTCCATAGCAGCTGGCTGTGCCGCGGTCATCACCCCTTGAGTAGGGACACCTCTCAAGGTTACCCCTCAAGGCTGAGAGATCCCTTACCTGATACCAGACATCGATGAGTTGGTAAGTGATGTTTTTTGCATGTGTGTGACATTTTAGGTATGTATAGTAAGCTTAGGCGATAATCTTTGTATCCCATACTAACTTTAAGTGTAGCAGAGTATTGACTGCCAATCCATCTGTACTTATTAAATAGTTTGCATACCTAAATTTACTGATTAGAACTCAATATACTAGATCAGATCTCTCTGAGTGATCTCTGACTCTTCTCCTGCAACCCTTTCCTGTCACAGGTCCTGATGATGATTTTGGACAATGCGCAGCGCCTTACTACCCTTACTTATGCAGGTTTTTTTGAGAAACTTTTCACAGGTAGTCATCTTTGAACTGTTGCCTCTCAATCTGGTGAATCTGGTCAATCTGTTTTTTTATCAATCTGGACCTCATAGGCAGGTCTTTGCCCTGTCATGGTTTCCCATGGTTTTGGGAAAATCAATTGTTTCTTCTTTCCAGTATTGTCCTAAAGCTTGACCAATGTTTTTGTTTATTCACAAAGTGGAGGATTTAAAATAGGACTGCACTGTAATTAGGTGAGGAGCCTAACTTTGTCACACTGTTGATAAAACCTTTGGCTTTATCTGCAGCATTCTTTGGGTATAACTTGTTTGCCTTGTATCTTTGCCAGATGTGTTGGTTGCTTTCACTATTGGATGTCAAGTGTATTTGAGGACAGTGACATTTGCCTTTAAATGGCTAAAGGAAAATATTTCATCACTCATGGCTCTGCAGAATGAATTTTGGAAGATGAGGCTTAAAGCTGCAGCATACTGGCTGGTGACACCTGGCTGATGAACCATTTGTATCATCATCACTCCTACTTTACTCGGCAAAGCCAGATCATTATTAAACCACATAGCTGCAGCTTTTGTTCTCCTTCAGTCACTATGATCCCAGGACAAGGCAGTGGGACTGGAGGAATATTACTGCTGTGTTTTGAGTCCCAGACTAGCAGCCTGTGAGGAACCCTGAGCATCTTGAGCAGACCTGTATTGCTTATCCAATGCAGCTTTATGTTAGGCTGCTGTCACACTTGAATGACTCATTAATGAAGAGGGCTGCACATTGCCCCTGCCTTTCCTCACAGCTTCTATTGGAAGTGCATCCCCAAATGCTGCCCCTTTGTTTTTTTCCTGTCACATTTAAATGCGGATAAAAAGAGAAAAAGAAACAAGCTTTGTAAAACACTGAGAGAGGCAGAAAAACATACAATTTGTTGTTGGATGAGATCCTAGTGCCTTGTGCTAAAGACTTTCTTGACCTTTCCAGAAAGAAAGCATGAGTTTTATTTTTTTTATGAGTACAGTTATGAGGAGACAGCAGTTGTTCCTTAGATGTGGATTTACTTCTTTACTTATGCAGTCTTCATATTTTTTTCCTTTTTTTTTTTTTTTTTTTTTTGCCAGGGGTAGGGGAAAAAGGGGCCAACCCCCAAAATTTTTTCGAAGTTT